TCAAAGCTTCTGTTTGGGATGATGGAAACATTTCTGAAATGAACAGTGGTGATGGCTGCACAACATTATGAATCTATTTAATGCCAATGAATTGTACTCTTGAAAATCTAAAATAGTAAATTTTTGTTTATGTTTTGTTTTAGTCCTTCCTCTACTCTGAAGGAAAGTTAAAGTGGCAATTTTATGTTATCTATAAAAAACAAATAAGACACATTTTTAAAAGATAATGAGCAAAGGTATCATAAACACACTAAATTTAATGAAATTCTTCACTTCTGTTAAAACTCTATGATCACGACTAGGCACAGTGGCTCACGCCTGTAATCCCAGCACTTTGGGAGGCAGAGGTGAGAGGACTGCCTGGGCCCAGGGGTTCAAGACCAGCCTGGGCAACTTAGCGAGACCTCATCTCTACAGTAAATTTAAAAAAAATAAATAGCTGGGTGTGGTGGCGCACACCTGTGGTTCCAGCTACATGGAAGACTGAGGTAGAGGGATCACCTGAGCCCAGCAAGTTGAGGCTTTGGTGGCTGTGAGCATGCCAATGCACTCCAGCCTGGGTGACAGAGTGAGACTCTAGGAAAAAAAAAAAATCTGTGATTACATAAGACCTACTAAGTCCCAGAAATAGTCAGATACTACAGGCCTTGCCCCAAATCACTGAAGCACCCGTGGTGCCTTTGCCCACAACCTATTCCCTCTACTAATTGATCAAGGACCAAAATAAGGACACTGACATTTCCCAACATCTGCCTTTATAGATCCTGACTGCTAAGGATCTATAAAGCATATGCTGCCATACAACACTGTCTGTTCTTTAGAAAAAGTGATACCTGGCTGGGTGTGGTGGCTAATGCCTGTAATCTTAGAGCTTTGGGAGGCCAAGGCAGGAGAACTGCTAGAACCCAGGAGTTTGACACCAGCTTAGGCAACATAGCAAGATCCTGTCTCTACAAAAAATCCAAAAATTAGCCAGGTGTGGTGGTGTATGCCTGTTCAGCTACTCAGGAGGCTGAGGTAGAAAGAATGCTTGAGCCCAGGAGGTCGAGGCTGCAATCAGTTGGCATCAAGCCACTGCATTCCAGTCTGGGCGACAGAGTGAGACCCCAACTCAAAGGGGAAAAAAAAAAAAAGAAAGAAAAAAAGGCAATAACAGATGAAATATTCCAAATACACCAGTGGCAACAATAATCAGACAGAACACAGCATCTCTCCTCTAAGTTATGCTGCTAAAAATAAAGAGTAATTAATATCCTACACACACCTTCACACCCATTTTGAAAAACAGATTCAAGAGTTATCCTCTTCCCTCCTTTGGTACTAGGTCCGATTTTTGAATGGCAACTTCACTTTCCTGAAGAATATTCTGAGAGTACCAAGAATATTATCTGGCAAGACATCACAAGAAAAGAAATACAAACCAGTATCCCTCATAGATACAAATGCAAAAATCTTCATAAACATAAAAAAAGGACTATACACTGTGACCAAATGGACTTATCCAAGAAATTATAGGTTGGTTTAACATTCCAAAAAATCAACTAACGTAATATATTTTATTAACAAAGGACAAAACCACACGATGATCTGGGCAACTTGGTGAGACACAATTTACCACCAATTAATGGTGGTTATCAATGTTGATAAACATGATAAACATTAATGATGGTAATAAACGTTCTCAAAAAACTAGGAACAGAAGGAAATTTCTTCAACCTGATAAAGGACATCTATGGAAAAACTACAGCTAACATCAAAGTTAATAGTAAAATACCGAATGCTGTCTCCCTAAGATAAGGAACAAAGCAAGGATGTCAGCTCTCACCAACTTTTATTAAATATTGTGCTGGAAGCTATAGCTAACACATGTAGGTAAGTAAACATTAGATAGATTAGATTAGAATTAATGAATGAAAAATAAATGCTACACAGATAAGAAAGGAAGAAGTTAAACTCTGTTTGTACATAACATGATCCTACATCATAAAAAACCTATATAATCAAAAATAAAAAGCTAGTATAACTAGTTACAAGACCAATATTAAAAAACAATTTGTATTTTTAACAAAATACACAATTCCACTTATAATAGCACCAAAAAGAATATAATACTTAGAAATAAATTTAATGAAAGAAGTGCAAGACTTATACAATGAAAACCATAAAACATTGCTGAGAAAAATTAAAGAAGATCTGGATCCTGGCTTTTTTTTTTTTAACAAAAATTGACAAACTGAAAACATAAAAGATTCAGAATAACCAAAATGATTTTGAAAAAAGAATAAAGTTGGAGGATTTACACTTTCTGATTTTTGAAACTTATTAAAAAAACGGCAGTAATCAAAGCAATGTGGTACTAATGTAATGACAGACATATACATTAGTGGAACAGAAACAGGAGTCCAGAAATATACCCTTATTAATAGTCAATTGATTTTCAACAAAGGTACCAATACAATTCAATGAAAAAAGGACAGTCTTCAGAAATGGTGGGAGGACAACTGAATATTATTTTAGACCCTTACACCTCACATCATACTCAACAATTAACTCATAGTCGATCGTAGACGTAAATGTAAGCACCAACACAATAAAGTTTTTTAAAATAAGAGAAAATCTTTGTGACAACAAAGTTCTTCAATACAATCCCAAAAGGCCAAACTATGGAATAACAAAATTGATAAAATAGACTTCCCTAAAATTAAAAACTTTTGTATTTCCAAAGAAACCATTAAGAAAATGAAAAGAGAAGCCACATACTGTGAGAAAATATTTGCAAATCACATATTTGAAAATAGACTTGTGTCCAGAATACATAAAGACCTCTTACAACTCAATAATAAGACAATCTAATTTAAAAATGAGTAAAAGAAGGCTGGACTCGGTGGCTCAGCCTGTAATCCTAGCACTGTGGGAGGCCAAGGTGAATGGATTGCCTGAGCCCGCAGGTCTGAGTTGCCTGGGCAACTCAACTTGGTGAGACTTTGTCCCTACAATCAAAAATCAAAAATTAGCCAGGCGTGGTAGCACACATCTGTAGTTCCAGCTACTTGGAAGGCTGAGGTGGAAGGATTGCCGGAGCCCAGCAGGTTGACGCTGGAGTGGCTGTGGGTGTGCCACTGCACTCCAGCCTGAGCGACAGAGTGAGACTCCAACTCAAAAAAATAGATGTGAATAGCAAAAGATGTAAATAGCTATTTCTCCAAAAAAGATACATGAGTGATAATAAGAATGAAAATGTGCTCAACATCTTTAGTCATTAGAGAAAAGCAAATTAAAACCTTCATTTCAAACACACTAAAACGGCCATAATGAAATGGACATTAAAATCTTGGCAAGGATTTTAAGAAACAGGTACCCTCACACACTGCTGGTAAGAATGTAAAATGGTGAGCTACTTTGGAAAACAGTTTAGTGATTTCTTAGATATATCAATTCATGCTGCTCTAATGATTTTGTGCAAAATTCTCTATCTACATCCCCAATATAGAGCCTTCTCTCATTGGAAAGAGAAAATAAAAAGTTTTGCAATTAATCAAATAGTCTAGATAAGTAGGAACAAACCACGAAAATAAATGTAAAGATTAAGATTTTTAAAAATTTATCATAATCTTCTCATACCCAAGACTCTAGTAACTGCTATTCTATGAACTATCATTAGTACTCAAACAGGACACTAATGGAATAGCAGAAGACCATGATATTTACAGAGTGACATGCATTAGGCACTGTGTTTAATCCTAGCAGACAAAGAATTTCAGGCTTACAGAGGCTGTTCTGCCTAATAGCACACAGCTCTGACAGTCAAGGTCAAGCTCTTTGCTCTTGCCTCCATTTTTTTTTTTTTTTTTTTTTTTGAGTTGGAGTCTCACTGTCACTCAGACTGGAGTGCAGTGACACGTTCCCAGCCACCGCAGCCTCGACCTACTGGGCTCCGGTGATCCTTCCTCTTCAGCCTTCCAAGTAGCCGGAACTACAGGTGTGCACTACCATGCCCAGCTAATTTTTTTTTGATTTATTGTAGAGACAAGGTCTTGCCAAGTTGCCCGGGCGGGTCCTGAACCCGTGGGTTCAGGTAATCCATTCACCTTGGCCTCCCAAAGTGCTGAGATTACAGACTGAGCCACCAAGCCCAGCCTCTTTCCTCCATTTCATAAAACTTCTAAGGATTTCAGTGTAAGGCTGAGTCCAGTATTAGATAATTTAAAATGTCCCTGATCCTAATACTTCCACCTATACATGTGTGTATACCAGAAGGGATAGCTTATAAAATAGTCATAATATTAAACAGTGTTTTAAATATACCTATAAATACCAGAAGGAATAATCTTTAAAATCAACACATTATGAAGTTATTAGAAAATAACTTTAGATATTTCACATCTCAACTATTTCGGCAGAAAATTCAGGATTGTCCAGTTAGGAACATCAGAGGTACCACTAAATTGTCGTCTAGGATAACAAAACATCCAACCTCAGAATTCATATGTTCATTTAATAAACATTTATTAAACTCCTACCATGAGCAAGGTACTAGATGCCTTTTCCTCCAGGAAAACACACCTTTTGATCACTCCTTTAATTAATATCCATGCCACAAGAATGTAGAATACTTGCTTTGAGATCTAGCCAAGAATTCTGTGCTAAGTCTGGAATCATTCTAGCTTTCTGTAAGATTTTATTCAAACAGTGTTGCAAATCCCTATTTTACTGTGTTTATACACATAACAAGCTCAAGTTTTTGAGGTTTCATTTTATATAATTCTTTCAATGTTTATAATACTGTAAGTACATTTTTTGGTACTTACAAACATGATGGATTATACAAAGAAGAACTTCATATTTTAGTGAGAAGTTATACTCTTCTCACTTATTTAGGTTGCCTCAAAGAAAGTAGCCATCAAGAGAAAAAGTAACCAAGGGATGAAAACAAAGGGTAAGAAATAAACCTGCTCAGCCATATTACAAGTTAAAAATATCACATCAAGTTTATAATTTACCTGCAGGTTTAAGGTCTCCTATTCGAATAATGTGTGGCCAGTGCTGGAGTGTTTTAGCAAAAAAAGGGTTGGTTACACCTAATATGACGGAGGGCCTGTATAAAAACCAAACCAAACAAAAAAAAAGGTAAGAAAAAAAATGAATGTTAAATCAGTAAAGAATAGTTTATACTTTCTTTTCAGTGAACAACATAGGTTTTCTTTTCTTTTACTCAACATATTTCATATTAACTACATGTCAGGCAACATGTTTAGCACTAGGCATACAAAGATGAAAAGATATGGTCCTTCCAATAGCACACAGAAAGAAAGAAATACATACCCCGTCATGATGCCAGAAATCAGAAGACAGAGAAGGTGGTATAAAATGCACAATAGGTTGGGTGCGATGGCTCAAGCCTATAATCCCAGCACTTTGGGAGGCAGAGATGAGAGGACTGCCTGAGCCCATGGGTTCGAGAACAGCCCAGGCAATATGGTGAGACCTCATCTCTACAATAAATCAAAAAATGAGCTTGGCGTGGTAGCTCACGGTTGTAGTCCTGACTACTTAGAAGACTGAGGCAGAGCCCAGCAGGTTGAGGCTGAGGTGGCTGGGAATGTGCTACTGCACTCCAGCCTGGGTGACAGAGTGAGATTCCAACTCAAAAAAATAAAAAATAAATAAAATGCACAATAATCACAAAAAAGAGTCTAAGTTTACCAGGGATTAAAGGATGGCCTCACCAAAGAGATGACATTTACAGAAAGACATAAAAGGTGAGTAGGAGTTTTTTGCCTAATAGAGGTAAGGGCGACACAGGGGATCAAAAGTACAAGCATATAAAAGCAATGAAGTGAGATCATGGCCTACACATAGTCCAGCATTCCTAGAGCACAAAGCAGAAAGGATGAATTATCAGAACTCAAAGTAGATGAGCAGATGCTGCCCAGATCGTTATGCACCAAGTTACTATGCTAAAAGTTTAGATGTTATCTTATAGACAAATGGAAGCTATAGATAACCAAATGGAGGAATGCCACATGAAAAAAAAAAGTGCTGTTAGAGAGATTACCCTGGATGAAATTTGGAAAATACCCTACAAGGAAGAAAGTGGTTGGGGTTAGGGAAAAAGCAACCATGGATATGAAAAGACTGGAGGCAGTACGACTGGAAAGGGAGCTATGAAAAGGGAGCTATGAAAGGTATTTTGGAATGTCAAACTGATGGAATTTGGTAAAATTTTGGAATGTTATGAAGGAGAAATTTCTGACAGTTTAAGTTTATGATAACTAGGTAAAAACAAATGCCATTCATGAAAAAAAGGAAGAGGCATGAGATTAGTAGAGAAAACAGGGAGACAAAAAGAATTAAGTTTGAACATGTTTAATTTCAGACACTATTAAGATGTCTAGGTGGCAACATGCTTAAAACACACACACACACACACACACACACACACACACACACACACACACACACACAAGTCTGGTTATATAGGTCTGGATCTCAGAGAGATCTGGGTTAGGAAGATATGTCTCAGTCATTAGTATAGCGTGTTAACAGAGGCCATGGGTACAGATAAGACTGAACAAAAAGAATTATCAGTCTGAAATCAGAACCCAGAACACAATACCAGAGAACACCAACATTTAAGGAATTAGCAAAGAAGTCTGCTGAGATGCACCACCAGACAGCCAGTAGAGAGCAGCATCGAGGATTAAAATATTTTCAAGGTCAGCAACGTAAAAATGTTATAAGAAAGAGAAGGTGGGAAAAATAGGGTAATGCTATGCTCACTAGGGCAGGCAGTAAGAAGGGTTGTGATGACTTTGGCAAGAACAAATTTGGTGGAACTGAAGAAGTCAACCTGCAGTTGATTGAGAAGCAATCAGAAAATGAAGAAGTGGAGATTTTTGTTGTTGCTTTAGAAAACTAGCTATGGAAAGAAGGTAAGCAATAAGGCAGGAGTTAAAAGGGAAAAGGTAAGATTATTTTTTCTCTTTTACAGACTGGGAAGAATTTTCATTAAGTAGAAATTAGTGCTAAAGTACTAATTCATAAAGCAGAATTCAGAAAGTAGAATTGAAAGTACAGTCCAATGGCTATTAATAACAATACAGTTTCCATTAATAAATAAAATCACTCAAAGGAAATAAGATACTAACTTTTGAAATCTGCAATTATTACCAGCAACCCTTCAAACCTTCCTTTCAATAAAAGTCATTCTGCCATAAGTTCAAAATTTAAATTAAACTCTTATTACCAACAATAATTCTACATAATTTTGGTTTTAAAGGTTAATACCTGGTCAATAAAAGTTATTCTGTTTACTCACGGAGCTTGAGTACGGGTAGTATATTCTTTGAACTCACTATCATGAATAGTGAAATAAGGTCGGAAATCACTGAAGTACTTTAATGGAGAAATACAGCTGTGGAACAAGAAGAACATGTAAAAAAAAAAAAAAGGACACAGAAATTAAAGGCCCTCCTCCATAACTATGAAATATCTATACACACAATATATACCCAGAGGGATGATTTACTTATATCTTTCTTTTTTTTTTTTGAGTTGGAGTCTCACTCTGTCACCCAGACTGGAGTGCAGTGGCCTCTCGTGGCCACTGCAGCCTCGACCTGTGGGGCTCCAGCGATCCTTCCACCTCAGCCTTCCTAGTAGCTGGAACTACAGGCATGCACTGCCACACCCAGCTAATTTTTTTTATTTACTGTAGAGATGAGGTCTCGCCAAGTTGCCCAGGCAGGTCTCGAACCCGTGGGCTCAGGCAATCCACTCACCTCAGCCTCCCAAAGCGCAGGATTATAGGCTGAGCCACCGAGCCTGGCTGATTTACTTATTTCAATAAATGGTAAACTCATTTCAGGGAACTAGAAAGACAAATGGAAATTTGTGGAATGGCATATAGAACACACTGTGCTTGGGGCAAAAGATGGGGTAAAATTCTGGCTCTACCATTCACTACCTTCATGTCTTTGACTAAATACTGACAATTAACATAATGAATATTTATCAAGTAACAACTTCATTTAATAAATAAATGTGCATGTCACTTAGAAGAACAATAAAAACATGGTTCCAGCCCTCATGAAGCCAGAATAGATATTCTTTTTTTTTTGAGTTGGAGTCTCACGGTCGCCCAGACTGGAGTGCAGTGGCAGCTCCCGGCCACCACAGCCTCGACCTGCTGGGCTCCAGCGATCCTTCCATCTCAGCCTTCCAAGCAGCTGGAACTACAGGCGCACACTACCACGCCCGGCTGATTTTTTGGTTTATTGTAGAGATGAGGTCTCTCCTGCCCAGGCGGGTCTCGAACCCTCGGGCTCAGGCAATCCACTCACCTCAGCCTCCCAAAGGTGCGGGATTACAGGCTGAGCCATGGAGCCCGGCTAGAACAGATATTCTTATTCATAAAATGATACTACAATAAGTACTACCTTCTATCTGGATTGTTGTGTGGATCAATGCAATAATGTATGGAGAAACATATCACAAATGGGAAAGTGCTGCAAATATCACCATAAGAAACCAAATACACTCACTTAACAAGTGCCAATACAGTCTCTGACGACTCCGATGGTGACGGTGCCATGACCACAAGGGGTTCTCCCAACAGCACCAGTTCCCAAAGCATCTGACTATGAAGGAAAACTGGGCAGAAACACCTGAAAAATGTTTACACAGTCCAAAATTTTATTATTTATCCAATACCGTTTTTAAAATTTCTACATAATTATTCAAAAAATTTATCATGAATAAATTCTTCCTATTTGTATCTTGATCTGATGTGTAAATTCATTTAGAATATGGTGATGCACTGAGACATAGGTCTCTTTTATCCACATAAAAACATATCAATTCAACTCATTCAAATTTTTACAAAATTAAATGACAGAATAACTGACAAACAATAAAAGCATATAATTATTAAACTGCTATACCATATGATGGGATTTTATAAATACTGCTTTATTAGCCGGGTATGGTGACTCACACCTATAATTCCAGTACTTTGGGAGGTGGAGGTGAGAGGATTGCTTGAGCCCAAGGGTTCAAGACCAGTCTGGGCAACTTGGCGAGACTCTGTCTCTACAATAAATCAAAAAATTAGCTGGGCATGGTGGCACACACCTGTAGTTCGAACTACTTGGAAAGTTGAGGTGGAAGGATCACCTGAGCCCAGCAGGTCGTGATTGTGGAAGCCATGAACATGCCACTACACTCCAACCTGGGCGACAAAGGAAGACTCCAACTCAAAAAACAAAAAAATTGCTTTATTACATTTGAATTTCTAAATATTTTGAAGAAAATACAAACTAATTTTCCAAGGGGCATTCATTGGATGTACTTTATTTATTTTCATTTGTTTATTTATTTTTTGTCAGAGTCTTACTCTGTTGCTCAGGCTGGAGTGCAATAGCATAACCATGGCTCACCGCAGCCTCAACATGCAGGGCTCCAGTGATCCTTCCACCTCAGCCTTCCAAGTAGCTAGAACTACAAGTGTGCACCACCACGCCTGGCTAATTTTTAAAAATTATTTATTGTAGACATGAGGTCTCACCAGAGTATCCAGACTGGTCTTGAACCCTTGTGCTCAAGCAACCCTCTTGCCTCAGCCTCCCAGAGTGCTAGGATTTACAGGTGTGAACCACCGCACCTGGCTGGATGTACTTAATTTAAAACCCAATGCTTTTGGCATTAAAAAATGATGACAAAAAGTCTCAAGGGGGAGTTCTAATGCTGAACAACAGAATTACTTTCTGGCCAGATACTCTTCCTATACAGGTGTTGCATATTTTTATATTTTTATAGCATGGAGGCCTAGGGACACAACTCTGCTAGTATGTTACTAAGCTTCAAATACTTGGTAACTTTTACTTATTTAATAATTTCCTCCCATTTTGGCAACAATTTTTCTTAGTAGATCAGAGAAAAAAATTATTTATAAAAATAATAACCAATCCACCTAGCTGAAAACACACACAAAGAGAAAAGAAAAATCAAAACAAATGTAAAGGCAGTGCAAGAAAGAGAGGGAGGGAGGGAGAGAGGAAGAAAAAAAGCAAGAGAAAGAGAGAGAAAGAAAGAGAGAAAAGGAGGGAGGGAAGAAGAAAGAAAGAGAAAGAGAGGGAGGGAAGGAGAAAGAAAGGAAGAAAGAGGCTGGGCTCAGTGGCTCAGCCTGTAATCCCAGCGCTTTGGGAGGTTGAGGTGAGTGGATTGCCTGAGCCCGCGGGTTTGAGATCCGCCCAGGCAACTTGGCGAGACCTCATCTCTACAATAAATCAAAAAGTAGCTGGGCATGGTAGCGTGCACCTGTAGTTCCAGCTACTTAGAAGGCTGAGGCAGAAGGATCACTGGAGCCCAGCAGGTTGAGGCTGCGGTGGCCAGGAGTGTGCCACTGCACTCCAGTTTGGGCGACAGAGTGAGACTCCAACTCAAAAAAAAAAAGGAAGAAAGAAAACAGCTCAAGGAGAAAGTAAAGGAACTACTCCTCTTCCCTTCCTCAACAACTCAATCCTAAAGCAGAACATAATAGGCATCTTTGCCCTGACAGGAAGAGAGCCACATTGGTCAGAGGGGGATGTCAAAGCTTGTGCGAGGTTAAGTGAACATCTACACGCAGGGGTCGGCCTTCTGGGGAACTGTTGGTGCTCAAATGTGGTAAGGAAGGTGTAAACGTGTGGGGTTTATCTGGTTTGGTGTGACAGACCCTAGGAAGCACAGTGGGGAAGCCCGGTATGTAGCTTCAGAGCCAAAGAGGGTTGAGGAAGTTGTCCATGGTAAGCAACCACCTGGCACAAGGTTTCAGAGCAAGGGAGTGAGGGCATCTTTATGGAAAAGTAGCCTAGAGTGGGGTGTGTAAGCACACAAGTAGTATAAGGAGAGATTCATGTGGGGATTGACCTAGTGTTAGCAGTCAGCACCCAAACAGAAGAAGATGGCGTTCACTTGGGGAGGTGGTCCAACTGAAATATAGTAACTTGAATGGGGTAAGAGAGTATTCACATGGGGGGGTGGTCAACCTGACATGGAGAGTCAGAGACTGAACAGGTTAAGGAGGGTATCCATGCAGAAGGACAGTGAGGTGTCAGGTGTGAGGTGTCAGAGCCCAGGAACAGTGAAAAAGACATTTGCACAGGGGACAGATTGCAGTAAAGATGGGAGACTGGATAGTAACAGGGGTACTGATAAAATCAGTACACAAATTCAGAATAATAGGAGGCAGTTTCTCATGAAGTGAAAAAAAAAATGAAAAGAGAGAAAATTAGAATTAACTTTGTTGTTTTACACTAGAATTGGGGGTATTAGTGTGACTTTATGGTTTTCAATATATATTATATTAAAATAAATATGTATATAAAATAATACACTATACTATATTATATTAGAGTGTGTATGTATACATGCATTTACATAAATATATACACACATGCACCCCAGCTCTGTCCATTTGAGAGGGTCTAAAAGCAATGATATCCCAACAGCAATGAGTACAGATCTTATTTTTTAAATTCTACCCTCTGTGAAAAAGCACCAAAGATCTTTGAAGAAATGGATGATTCTAGGGGTAGGAAAGAGAAAATATAAGATAATATGGGAACCCAAGAGAATTCAAAACATACATCCACACAAATATTTATATGCAAATATTCATTGCGACATTATCTGTAATAACCAAAAAGTGGAAATCATCTAAATTTCCATCCAATAATGGATAAACAAAATGTGGTATACTCGCCAGGCACAATGGCTCATGCCTGTAATCCCAGCACTTTGGGAAGTTGAGGCGAGAGGATTTCCTGAGCCCAGGGACTTGATGCCAGCCTAGGTAACTTGGCAAGACTTTGTCTCTCTAATAAAATAAAAAATTTGCTGGGCATGGTGGCATGTGCCTGTAGTTCCAGCTACTTGGAAGGCTGAGGCAGAAGGATCGCCTAAGCCCTGCAGTTTGAGGCTATGGCAGCCGTGAGTGTGCCACTGTACTGCACCCTGGGAAACAAGAGTGAGACTTCAACTTAAAAAGAAAAAAAAAAAGGCGGTATATTCATACAATGACTATTATTCAATCATAAAAAATGAAGTTCATACGGTCCCCAATTTACAGTGGTTCAACATGTTTTTCAACTTTATGATGGTGCAAAAGTAATAGGCATTCAGTACATTCCTTGACTTATGACAGGGTTACCTCTGGATAAACCCAGGGTAAATTTAAAATACTGAAAATGCACTTTCAACTTGCAATCTTTTTAACTTACCCTGGGTTTATTAGGATGTAACCCCACTGTAAGTTGGGGAGCATCTGTACTGGATTCATGACACTGCACAGATGAACTCTGAAAACATACTGAGTGAGGGAAGGCAGACACAAAAGGTCACATATTGTATGATTCTAGTTATATGAAATGTCCAAAACAGGCAAATTCATTGAGACAGAAAGTAGTGGCAAGGACCCTTGGGGGGGAAGAAATGGGAACTGCTAATGGGTATAGGGTTACTTTTTGAGGTGTTGAAAATGTTCTAGAGTCAGACAGTAATGATGGCTGCACAATTTTGTGAATATATTAAAATTGACAAAATTTAAAAGGTTGAATACTGTGTGGTATGTGAATTACATGTCAATTTTTTAATTACAAAAAAAAGATAAATCTAGACTATTTTGCATCAGAAAGGAGTGTTCAAAGAATGACAGGGATATGACAAAAGAACACAGAAGCCAGCGTGAAGTAGGTTTTCACTGGCCTAATTGGGGACAATTTGAATATCAAAATAAACCAGTTGCGGTGGCTCAAGCCTGTAATCTCAGCACTGTGGAGGCCGAGGTGAGAGACTGCCTGAGCCTATGGGTTTGAGAACAGCCTGGGCAACTTGAGGAGACCTCATCTCTACAATAAATCAAAAAATTAGCCAGGTGTGGTAGCGCACGCCTGTAGTTCTGGCTACTTGGAAGGCTGAGGCAGAAGGATCACCTGAGTACAGCAGGGCAACGCTGGGGTGGCCATGAGCGTGCCACTGCATTTCAGCCTGGGCAACAGAATGAGACTCCAACTCAAAAAGAAAAAAAATAGAATATCAAAATAGATTAGAATGATAAATTGTTAAATAAAAACAGGAAACCAAGAGTCCATACAGAAACATAAAAATAGTGTAGAATATTCACAAAAGCAAAAACATGGAACCAACCCAGATGCCCATTGACAGTGGACTAGATAAAGAAAATGTGGTACATACATACTATAGAATACTATGGAATCATAAAAAAAGAATGAAATCATGTCCTTTGTAGCAACATGGATACAACTGGAGACCATCATTTTATGTGAATTATCACAGAAGGAAGAAAACTGAATATTGCATGTTCTCACACATAAGTGAGTACTAAACATTGGGCACACACTGTCATTGCTAAAGGAGGAAGGGAGGGAGGGGGGATAAGGGATACAAAACCACCAATTGGGTACCATGCTCACCTCTGGGGGAGGGAGTCAGAAGCCCAAACTTTGCCTTCACACAATATACCTATGTAACAAATCCTCACATGTACCCCATGATTCCAAAATAAAATAAAACAATGATATCACAAACTATTTTAAAGAAATAAAAGTAATGTGGTGATTTAAAACATGTCCAAAAATTATTTAATACTCCTTTCAAAACATGGACG